CTAGGGGAGGGCAGGGTTCCCAGCTGGGCTGAGAGGATGGCCCCACCTCCTCTAGGCTGGGCCCCAGGCTGTCACAACAGGGAGGATTGTTCCCACCGAGTGTCTGGGCCAGAAAACACAAGTGGCCACTGTGTCCGCTTTCAAGGGTGTGGGCTCCAAGGTTAGAGACCGCCAGCCAGCAGCGGGACTGGGGATCCCCCTCATTCCTGGTCTGGCCTCAGCACTGGTGGAGACGGACTTTGGGAGCCTTGATACTGTGTGTTTATGGGAACCCTGCCTGCTCACCTCCGAGTGCACTTCATTTGTTCAGCTCTTACCCGTTCTCCAGGCTCTCCAGAGAGAGAGCTTGGGCATCATGCCTCACCCTCCAACTGCACAGAGCGAAAACAGAGGCCCAGGCAGGACTCATGCTGACTGTACAGGCAACTCTGGAAAGCAGTTAGGTTCACGGACTTTGAAACACCAGGGGCCCAAGTCTGTTAGTTACAGATATATGTCCTTGGACTTGGCTTCACCTCTGGGAACATATGGTTTTTGTTTTTATGGGTCTCACTCTGTCGGCCAGGAGCTCCTGGGCTCAAGTGATCCTCCTGCCTCTGCCTTCCAAGCAGTTGGTACTACAGCTACCGTACCTGTTCCTCCATTTTCTTATACATAAAACAGAAAGACAGACAGACAGACAAGCAAACAAGCAGTCTCCAGGAAGCACAGTGTTCTCTTTGAACCCAAGATCCAAGTCAAGACCACAGTCCTGGACTCCATCATCTCCTTTCCAGGCCTCAGTTTGCCATCTGGGAAGTGGGCCTGTAGCCAGTGCCGGCCTCAGTGCCTGGGGGAGGCTCCGTGCCTGCTCCTGTCAAGGTCCCCTTGCTGGGGGCGGGGGTAGGGGGCTTGGTGCTGGCTCTGCTTGTCATTCGTCTTTAGCTCATGGTGACTGAACTTCTGGAAGTGATTTGGTACTCAGAGCAGACAGGCTTGTGACAGATCTGGCCTTCAGCAGTCACCCGCCTGTCTGACTCGCAGCTTGCTCCCCTGTTGCCTGAGAAGGGCGTTTGCCTTCCAGGTCCGAGTGGCAGTGGTCAGCGCTGGCTGTTTGTTGTTTGTTTGTTTTCGGTCATCGCTGTTGCAACATCTCTGTTGCCTTTTGGGAATGGATTGATGCCTCTGCCAGACTCTTAAGGAATCTGATTTTGGCACAGTGTCTGCACGGCCCCTCCCTGGTGGGCTCTGGCTTCTGAAATCTGAGTGAGGCACTGGGCACTGACTGAGTAGTCTTGGTGTTGACATTGGCTCCTTGCTGAAGGCCCCCGCCCTTTGGTCAGTGCTGCTTTTACAGTGTGGGCAGAGCAGGTTCTGTGCCCTCCTAGAGAACATTCCCCATCCCCCACAGTTACAGGAAAATGCCTTTTTTCAGGAAACTCAGGAAAAGGTGACATACAGCCTTCTTCACCAGAACCCTCGGCACTGAAAGTCAGTGATGAACGGGTGGCTTTTGCCTAGCTCATTGTGGTTGAGGTGCTGTGGTCACCTGACCCTCCATCTGCCACCCCCAAAGGCCTCACCCTTCCTCTCTGCCTCTCCAAAGGCCCAGAGGCACCTAACTAAGTCTCTTCTAGAGAGAGACTCTCGCCGCTCATCTAATAGATTTTTAAGGTGTTCTGAACAAGTGTTTGAAATTGAGTTCTAGAGAAAAGAACCCCTCCCCCCTAACACACCCACACCCTGCTGATCTGGGCTCCTGGGCTGGGTGCTGGAGGTCTCAGGACTTCTGGTCTGAAAAAAAATTTGGTGGAGGAAGACTGGTCAGTGGTAGCGAGCAGGCTTGGGAGCAGGCTTCCGGAGGTCCAGACCCACGCTGCTACTTTGCTCTTGGGGCCTTGCCTCAGTCTCCCCATCTAACTGCACTGTCCTGGAGGATGGTTGAGATAGCATACCTAAGGGGCATAAGCCAAGGGTGAGCAAACCCTGTCTCCCCATAAATGAACTGTCCTAATCACTGTAGGTGGCCCGGGGCTCTTGGCCACTTAGGAGGACCCCAGCTGAGAACAGACGGGAAAGTGCCCGTTTGCATCCTCCCCACCACTTCCTTCTTGAAGGCTCCATCTCAGGTTCTGGGGCCATGCCCATCACAAGCAGCCACCTGCTCCCTCTTAACAGGATTGGTAGCACCTCTCCATCTAGACCTTAATTGCTGAGGCCAGGGAGAGGGTAGCTGTCTGGGTATCACCCTACATGGGTCTTGCCTGAGGCATAGCAAAGGTCATCAGGTTATAGAGGCTTCTCAGTGCAAACACAGGGATTGTGTGGACGTGTATAGTCTAGAACAATGGTTCTCAACCTATGGGTCGCGACCCCTTTGAGAGGGGCGTCTAAGACCAACAGAAAAGAGATTCATTATGATTCAAAATAGTAGCAAAATTACAATTATGAAATAGCAACAAAAATAATTTATGGTTGGGAGTCACCAAAACATGAGTGACTATTAAAGGATCACAGTGTTAGAACAGTTGAGAACCACTGCCCTAGAGAATGTGGAGAATCTGTGACGGCAAATGACCCAGGTTCAAATTCCAGGCATGTGTGTCCCCTCTCTGGACTTGGCCTTGCTTCTCAACCTTGCAGCGGGAGTCTGAGCTGCAGGTTGCTGTACCCTGACCCTCTGGGTGAGTGTGCATTGTCACCCGGGGGGCCGAAGATGCACAGGAAGGGCTGTCCTGGGTGTGCAGAGGTCGCAGTGGGTGAGAGGCACAGCACCCCCAAGAAGGCATGGGTGGAACATGGGTGGGGCACGGGTGTTCACGGCCCTGGGGTGTACCCACTACCCCTGTGCTGCTGATGTCTAGGGCCACATCGTCACAGTGTGTCCTCTGTCAACACTGTGAACACGGCCCTTGTGAGCACCGGAGGTGGAGGTGGGGGCGGAGAGAGGGTAAAGTTTCTAGCAGCTTCCTTTGCAGCTTGAAGGACACCAAGGGGGTTGTGGGTCTTGCGTCCTGTTTGGGGGGGCCCCCTTGTGAGGTGGCGTTGCCTCCCCCTTGTGAGGTGGGGGGGTGGTGGCGCTGCCTCCACCCTCCTGCTTGCCTCACTCTTTCTTTTTGGAATTTTGGCAAAATAGAGTTAATAACATGTTTATCACATTAGCTTTTCCAAGGCCCACAGCTCCTAAGTGACTCCAAGGCTTTGTTTTATTATTTTATTTTATTTTTGAGACACCGTCTCACTATATAACTCTGTCTGTCCTGGAACTCAGTGTAGACCAGGATGGCTTCAAACTTGCAGAGATCCTCCTGGATTTATGGATGGTTGTGAGCCACCATGTGAGTGCTGGGAATTGAACCCAGGTCCTCTGCAAGAACAGCCAGTGCCCTTAACCACTGAGCCATCTCTCCAACCCCAGAGAGCAGCATTTTCAAGGCTCATTTGTCACAGTTGTGGCATTTTGTGGTGGAACAACAGACTATTGTATGGATGCGTTAGTTTCTTTGGTAGCCCTCAGGTGGGTCTCGCCCTTGGCTGTGGGGATGCTGTGCGGTGTGCTGGCAAGTTGGAACCCCTACTTCGGGCTCCTTTGGCTCTGAACCTGTAGTGGTGTTGCACGTATATGATGGTCCCTGGAGTAGGGTGCTCTGTGCTGGTCGCTCGCTGCATCCCGCACCCCTCCAGCTCTCCTTCTGTACTGGTCGCCCGCTGCCGTCCCGCACCCCTCCAGTTCTTCTGTACTGGTCGCCCGCTGCCGTCCCGCACCCCTCCAGTTCTTCTGTACTGGTCGCTCGCTGCCGTCCCGCACCCCTCCAGTTCTGTACTGGTCGCCCGCTGCCGTCCCGCACCCCTCCAGTTCTCCTTCGCACACCCTCAGCAGCTCCTGTTACGGTTCTGTTTCCTGACTGTGTCATCCTAGCTGACAAAAGCTTTCTCTCTTTCTCATCAGATAAGAAGCGGTGTTCTGCCCAGGTGACATGTAGCCAGAAGGCAGTTATGCCGTGATACATGGAGGGAACCCCCCCCTCCAACATGCACATATACACGAACCCCCTCCACAGGCACATGAACCCCCACATACACATACACAGGAACACACACATACATACACACACATACACACACACACACACACACACACACACACACACAGAGGTATATGCACACAAAACCCTCCTACACATACACAGAAACTGCCCAACACACACAGAGTCACATGAATCCCCCCTACATGCACATATACAGGAACACACACATACATATACACACACAGAGGCACATTCGTGTGAACCCCGGCACATGCACATGAACCCCCCCAACAAGTACATGCACATGAACCTCCCTACATACACATACACAGGAACCCCCCCCAACACACACACAGGCACTTAAACACAAACCCATCCTACACACACACACACAGGCATGCACACACACACACACATACACACACACACACACACACACACACACACACACACGCACACACACACACACCGGCACATGCACACAAACCCTCCCCCCCCCCCCACAGGCACATGCACACAAACCCCTCCTACACACACACACACACACACACACACACACACACACACACACACACACGAACCTTAAACAGCGCACAGTGACAATGCTCATGAGTCCTCTGTTTCAGGCTTTTCCTGGCCGGCTGTCAGGAATAGTTTTCCTCAGAGTTTTTGTTCTTCTTTCTTTTCATTTTTGTGTTATAACGACTTTATTTTGTGTGTCTGTGTGTAGGCACTAGTCTATTTTTGTATGTTTCCCATAGCATGGTTATATCTTACTTCCTTACTAAGCACATGGAATGTTCTTTCTGGTCTGGGCTCCCCTCTGTCGACACCTCGTGTGCCCGGCCATTGGTGGGAAGTGTCTGTCAGGTCAGTGTCTCGGACCCTTAGATATCCACCTCTGTTTTCACACTTGTTTGGGGGGCGGGGAAGCCTCCCAGGGCCGTCTCCTGTCCAGCCTGTCTTGTAACCTTCCTTGTCTCCACTTTCCAGGCCAAAAACAAGGAGACCGGTGCTTTGGCAGCAGCCAAAGTCATTGAGACCAAGAGCGAGGAGGAGCTGGAGGACTACATTGTGGAGATTGAGATCCTGGCCACCTGCGACCACCCGTACATCGTGAAGCTCCTGGGGGCCTATTACTATGATGGGAAGCTGTGGGTAAGAGTGTGCCCCCCGCCCCCCCCCCTGTGCTTACTCAGCATCTGCTCTGTGAGTCAGGGCCACAGCAGGGAGAAGGTGGAGTTGGCTGCTGAGTCCTTGGCCCCGCCTTCTCACACTAACCCCACTTCCCACACTCAGGCTGAGGCCACAGAAGCAGAAAAGTGTCCCCAAAGTCTGTGCTATCCTTGAATCCTGTGCTGTAGCATATGAGCTAGAGAAGGCTGGACCCGTTACCAACCCTCCGTGAGTGGATGGATGAGCATCCCTCATCTAGAAATCGGAAGCAGTCCAAAGGGTACTGCTGCTCAGAGCATTTCCGATTTTATACCGTCAGCTGGGGAGGCTTGAGGCAGCTCCCCTGGGGTAAAGTCTTTGTGTTTGCTAGGTCTGAGGTCCTTCGAGCCTGAGCACGGCACCCCATAAGGAATTCTCACCTCATGGTGCCTTGGACATGGAACACTCCAGGATTAAATGGGTGAATTCTGGATGAATGCCCAGAGGCCTGGTGTGGACAGGGTGCCTGAATGCTGATCTTGGGTCCTTTGCAGGACTCACATCTCTCCCACTTCTAGGCTCTTCCCTCCTGAGCATCACCCTTGGCTCCTGCAAGGGTCCTGGGACCTCACTGGCTTCATAAGATGAGGCAACCCTGCATAAACCCCTGTCAGCAGGTTGACACCCCTCAGCTGGCAAAACCCAGATGCCCTAGAATGTACATCTTGCTAAACTTGTTTTCTGCCAAGTCTCGTGTGTGCGTGTGTGTGTGTGTGTGTGTGTGTTCAATGGTGGGAATTGAGTCCAGGGCAAGTGCTCTACCACTGAGCTAAATCTCCAGCCCCGTAGCATACATATACATCTATGTATATACACACATACGCTGACACATATGTAAATAATCCCCCTCTAAACTCTGGACACCAAGGAAGCGAAGTGATATGTGTGTAAGAAACATCTCCAGTAAGTTCTGGGTGTGGCTGGCAGTGTCAGAACCTTGCAGACATTTGGAGGCATGGCTGAGAGTCCTCAGGCGCCGGACATCTCAGCCATTCCTGGGGCTGTGTGAGCCCAGGTCTTGCCGCTGTGGGAGGGAGAGGTGGTTCAGAAGCATGCCTTGTTCAGAAAGGCATGTTTCAGGCGTGGTGCTCACTGCTGTGGTGGCTTGGTGTGTTTGGAGGGGTTTCCATGTCTAGTTAGGTCTCAGAACACCGGGGAGCTGGGTATTGGCCAGGAATGCTTTGTCATTTTTCATGCCCGGTGGGAAGTAGAGTCTTGGCTTTACCGTGACAGACTGCCTGGCTTACTGGGGCTAAATAGAGAACCCTGGTTCCCTGGAGAAGGAGATCGGCTGCTTAGGAAAATAGAGAGTTCCCAAGGCTCCATGCTCTCACCTCACAGGCAGGAATGACAGCCAGCAGGAGGAAGTCACTGCTGAGGGACAGGGGCTAGCCTTCCCAGCTTGTGTTAGGCTGGTGCCCATTGCCGGGAGATGCCCGAGGAAGGACTTCTTAACACGAGACATTTAGTTGGCATGCAGCCCTAGAGGTTCAGGACCGTGGTGCCAAGGTTGGCTGGGCTCTCACGATGGGCTCAGGTCAGTGGGAATCATGGAGGGTTTTGTTGAAGAAAATCTCAGTGATTTTGGGAGCCAGAGAGCTCCTAAGGTCCCAGAAAGGCTCTCCTTCCTCATTAGTCCCTTCTTAGGGCCTGTCTCTGTGACCTCATGACTAGTCTCCGCTCTTAAAGGTGATGACATCTCCCGTTAACATCACCACACTGGGGACCAGGCTTTCAGTGCCTGAACTCTTGCGTGGGGGTACACACAGGCCATGGCATAGCTCCCCCTACCCTGGGCTCTGTCCCCTGTCACTCCCCCCACCCTGGGCTCTGTCCCCTGTCGCTTGTATCTTTCTTTTTACTGCTTGGAGCATCTCTTGGGGGAGCCACTTGGGCAGGAGTGGTGAGATAAAATCCACACAGCCAACTTCAAATTTCTAAAGTCCTGTTTGTCCCCCGTCCCCTGGGACCCTGGAGGTGGAGCAGGACAGGGAGAATCACTAGGTGGTCTCTCTTTTCCAGAGGAAGAAACAGAAACAAGGAGAGGTGAGCCTCCTGTTCAGAGCCCACGGTGGATGAAGCCAGACTTCATGTTTTCTCTGTCTTGATTCATGGGGACCGCTTTCTGTTGTGTTGGTTGTTGTTGTGTTTGTCGTGTTTGTGTTGGTTGTTGTTGTGGTGTTTGTTTCAGAGCTTCAGTGTTCTTCACTCATTCGGCAGAAAATACAGCAGATGAACAACAGACTTCAGCTAATGTCCTGGAGTCGCTTTGAAAACTATTTTTCTAGGGCTGGATGGCACTTGTTCTGCAAGTCTGGGGACCTGAGTTCAGTCCCCAGAACTCATGTATGGATAGGGAGGGAGTGACTCTCAAAGTGCCCTCTGAACTCCACACATGCATCATGGCATGTGCATACACACACACACACACACACACACACACACACACACACACACACACACACACACTAATAGTAGTAGTAATAGTGATTGTTTCTAGGCAATTAGAGAAAGAAGAAATGACTGATGTCACTTGGGTAGTTACTGAAGAAAAATGGGAAAAGCAAAAAATGAAAACTGCTTGAATTTTTTCTTTCTTTTTCTTTTTTTTGCCAGAGGACCCACTGGTAACATTAGAAATGTGTTTTCTTTCTTTTTTGTTTTTTGTTTTTTGTTTTTTTTTCAAGACAGGGTTTCTCTGTGTAGCTTTGGAGCCTGTTCTGGAACTTGCTGTGTAGACCAGGCTGGCCTCGAACTCACAGAGATCCGCCTGGCTCTGCCTCCCGAGTGCTGGGATTAAAGGCGTGCGCCACTCACTGCTGCCCTCAAAATGTATTTTCTAGATGTTTTCATAGTAGAGTTTTAAAATAAGTTAGGGTGCCATGCCTGCTACTGTGTGTTTGCCCTTTTAGTTGAGACACCCTACACCATCACATCACCATCCCTCCCCTACCCACTCTCTCCCCATCCATATCACTCCATCCATCTCTCCCCGTCCACATCACTCCATCCATCTCTCCCCATCCACCATCCCTCCATCCATCTCTCCCCATCCACATCCCTCCATCCATCTCTCCCCATCCACATCCCTCCATCCATCTCTTCCCATCCACATCACTCCATCCATCTCTCCCCATCCACATCACTTCATCCATCTCACCCCTACCCACTGTCCCACATTGGTGGAAACATCGGGTAGGCAATTACAGCAAATTGGGGAAATCTCTCCCATAGGCCTCAGATGCTGACAGTTCTTAGCTTTTGGGTTGATGAAAGCTAGGGACCTGTTTTTACACTCCAAAAGGATTTGAGTAGTACTCACAGGCTCTTAGGTCACACACAGAGGTGGGCAATGAATGGCTTTTTAAAAGGGCCAAGATGGCCTAAGATAATTTGGCTCTGGAGCTGCAACATTCAAACTTCCCCATTCACTGAAGTTCCAGCCCGTCCGTCAGCTCTTATAGAATGGTCAGTGTAGGTGTGACTTCTTTTGGCAACTTCATAGCGTCGTTGCTGCTCTTGGACTGGGGTGACCCCTGGGGAGAGGTGCAGCTGGTACAATAATTGGAGACCATATTGTGCAAGGCCTGGATGCCAAGGGGAAGATTTTACATCTGACCTTATCGAGGTCAGCCTTCAGACCAGCAGGCTCAGCACCTCCTGGAACAATCAGTCACGTCGGTGATGGAGCCCCACCTGGCCCTCCCCAGTCATAAGCAGGGTGCTGCCCAGCAGCCTGTAGTTTGAAAGCCTTCTAGGTGAGTCATGGTGGTTGACGTTTGAAAACATCTATTTTAGGCCTTGGCAACCCAGTTGCAGTTTTGCTCAGGGGAAGTACATTCTGTGTTGTAGGAAAACGTCAGCTTTGGGGGCAAGAGGTAAAGCATTGGGTCTTGTCGGGAAGCAGTTCAGAGTGGACCTGGCCAGAAGCCTAAGGATGTGATGTAGAACACGGGGGAAGGAGCATTTGAACTGTGCCTTTCAGGATGCATAGGAGTTAGAAAGAAGCAAGGTATGAAACCGTGTGGTTCTGAGATTGAAGTTTGGAGGCCACACTGTGGGGTGTGGGGCCACACCTCTGTGGGGTGGCTTGAGGCCCAGGCTTCCTGCGTGGTCTCGGGAGCCAGCTTTCCCCTGTAGGTGTGTACCAGAGCTAGTAAGGGCTGCTCCCAGGGCTGGACACTGAGGAGCTGGCTGTTCGCCGAGCTCCTGCATCCCGAACAGGCGAGATGGACCTTCCTTGCCCCAGAGTAGTCCTCTGCCTGCCGTCTTACAACATGAGGCCACTGTCTTCCAGAATTTACAGATTAGCGCAGTCCCTTTAGCCGCTCCTCATTTCCACTTCTGCTTTTAAATATTGAATGGTACAAGTGGTGGACAACACACACATACACACACACACACACACACACACACACACACACACACACACACCCGGCTCCACATGCCTTGAAGGGCAGGCTGCAGACCCATGAGAGCTGTGGACACTGCGTCTCTTGGGTTCGTTTCTGATAGCTGTGTTTGAAAGGGCAGGTAGGGGTGGGGGCGGCGAGTCTTTCTTAAATTAGAATTTTTTTAATGACTGGTGGTGGTGGAGTACGCCTTTAGTCCCAGCATTTGGGAGGCAGAGGCAAACGGATCTCTGAGTTTGAGGCCAGCCTGATCTGCAGAGTGAGTTCCAGGACAGTCAGGGCTACACAGAAACCCAGTTTCAAAAAACAAAAACAAAATATTTAACCCAGTTTAAAAGGCCATTTTGACATATGATCAATATAGAAGTTATTAGCAAGACATTTTTGCTTTTTTATTCTGTCTTCAAGTCCTGTGTGTGCTCTGTCCTTGTGGTACATTTTTAAAAGTTAAAAGATTTTAAGCTTCCTAGCCGGGCGGTGGTGGCGCACGCCTTTAATCCCAGCACTCGGGAGGCAGAGCCAGGCGGATCT